CTACACAGAAATATTTTTCTGTTTAACAGAATATTTATATCCAGAATTGTTTTATTTTTGGTGTGAATTAGTTTTAAAAATATTTTATTATTTGTGACGTACATTTGACTGATGACTAAAAAAATACAAATTCTTATTGGAATGAATCATATTTCCACAATTTTTTAAATTATATTTTTAATATTTTCCGTAGAATATTGGGAAGTATTTGTCATCGATCAATTTTTATGGATCACTATGTTTCCTCCACACTTTTAGAAATGCCAATGTATTATAGTTTAACAGAATGAGATTGCAGCGATGTAGTTTTTGAAAGCAAATCGAAATAATACTAACTTTGCGATAAATAAGATTTTTAAGAGGAGAGAAATTTTGCGTAGACTTTCTGGGAAATCTTTTAAGTAATTATAGAATTGCATTGTAATGGGAAGGAAAGGAAAGGCGAGAAAAATTAGTAAACATGATACTTGGTACTTTTATCGGTTCATTAATCATCGGGGGATGGCGGCAATCGCTAACGCGGCAATGACTGATGAGGAATGGTTTCCGATTTGCAGGGAATAACCACGTCAGAAATCCAAGTGTGGCGGGTGGTTTGAGCCAGATCGATAATAAAACCCTTCAGTGGTTTGGTGCCACGGTTTCAGCCTCTTTGAAAGATGGAGGACCCATATTGGTGAGTAATTCTGTCCAATTTTTATTACTATTTTTTCTAGAAACTTCTTTTACAAAGTTTTAAAGCAACCGATAAATTCGCATATACGTTGGCAGCTTATGCGTGTGTGATCACATCAGCGCGAAAAATTTATGCTAAAATTGCAAAGTTGTAGCGTTATTTTTTTACGGTGGATTTATTTCGCTATTTAAGGCGTTTTCTTCGCTGCCGCGCTAAATTCGCGACGTAGATACAGTGATAAATGTAAGAAAAAGGACACTAAACCCCACAGATTAATGTGAAATATTCGCTGCTTCAGCGAAAATTTCGTACTTCGGTGAATTTTGAACGATTAGGTGAATTTCGCTGACGTTACGAACATTTTGCGTTGGTTTGGAGGATCCTTAGCCTTTTCGCTGCCATTGGTGCCTATAGGCATTTTAAATATTTTCGTGCACTGTGTCCTTGACGCCTATAGCCTTTTTGAATATTTTCTTGCACTGTGCCCTTGACACCTATAGCCGTTTTGAATATTTTTTATACTGTCTTTAACGTCTATAGTTGCTTTGATTATTTTCTTGACGCCTATAGTCGCTTTGAATATTTTCTTGACGCCTATAGTCGTTTTGAATATTTTCTAGCGCTGTGCCCTTGACGCCTATAGTCGTTTCGAATATTATCTCGCACTGTGTCATTATTGTTGGCGCTTTTTGGCACACTTTCGCCTTAGTTTGAGCCCTGATTCTCGTTCTTAGCGTACTTCCACCTTAATTTTCAAAGTGACAAATTTTAAATTTGCATTTGAATTTTAAAATTTGTTAAAAACTTTGAAACGCCAGAAGAATAGATTTTGCGACCGTGATTGAACATCTGCCATCTTCCATGTACTAAAATCTGCCTCAGCGAAAGGGTTAATATTCCCTTACATTCGTTTAATTAGAATTTTTAAAAATACATAAAAGTTTGAAGAAAATTATGAAAACACTATAGACAGATTATGATACAAGAATAGAATAAAAACAGCGATAGAAAAATTGCTCGAAATAGTATAATTTATAATGGCAACGAGCAGGATAAAGTAAAATATACATGTACTGCTGCATAAAATGCCTTCAAAGTTTGCTTCTTACGTTTCGAGGGAATTTATAAAGGTACAAAAGCAGTAAATACACATAGACGAGGGAGACTTGTGAGAAATTACAGGCGCATGTTCTTAGAAGACCGCACCTTCTATTTCAGGAATCGAAAACAAACGAATTCTGGTTTCGTTCTATGTTTCCGTTGCTGCGTCTAAACGACGTGCCATTATATCGAGCCTTGTATAGTTACTTCGGTAGC